GTTGAGAAATTAGACGATAAGCAAATTAGACGGAGGTACTTAAAAGGAAATTAGACGGTTTTGCAAAACTGCAATTGTGAGAAAATAGACAAAAGTGAGAGAAATTAACTTTGTTTGCACACAAATTGCGTTAGAAAAATAAAATTGTTTGTAGACAACAGTTCAATTTCGGTGGCCAAAAACTTTACAAGTCAATCATGCATAATTTATTCAATTCAAAACTCTTCTGTATTGTTCGGATTTGACATTGAATGTTCATTTACACTAATTGGTTTGATAGGTATTAACATTTTATGTTCTTTTTGTATTTGTGATACTTGAATCTTATGAAAAATTTTTGTTGGCCCTTTCAATTTCGTCTAAAATACCAGATCTGTAAAAAATAAATTCCGTCTAATTTGCTTATCGTCTAATTTCCTAGGCCCCCGTTCTGAATCGCCTTCTTCCGGTTGACTCTTTCCATTTTCCAACTTTTCGACTCTCATTTTGACAAACTGCTTTTCTTTTGTCCAAACTGATTTTGTTGTTTTGAAAAACTAAGTTTTTTCGAAGGGTGTTCCGTTTTGAATTGAAGAAATTTTCAAAAGAGATATAATTCGGTCGGCAATGGTACAAAAGCTTAGTTCTGTCTCTCTTTGAATCGCAAAAGGACCCAAAATTGGCACCAGTAAAACATTAAGCGTGATCTACTTTGATTGAAACTTGAAATCCGTTTAAATGATTTTAATTATCTATAAAAACAAAAACTGTTTTCGAAAAATGGCTTGACATAATTTTAAGGCTTGAGTTTTCAAAAATTGATAACTGCATGAAAAGAACTTCAGGTAAAATCAAACGAACATGAAAAGATTAGGTCAATTTCTTCGTTCGCAAAAACTAATATTGATAAATGATGTGTTTTTGAGATTTCAGAAAAATCAAAATTTTTGCCCGTTTCAACAACAAATAAGCCTTATTTTCTATGAAAACCTTTTGATATGAGGCCACCAAACACTTTTCGAAAAAAAATCATACCAAATTGTTCTGGATGGGCCTTGTGGACCAATTTAACTGTTCTGCTGTTCTGAGGACACAAGGTAAGTAGAGGTTGTTATTCATGCATAACCGTTCGTCGAAAATATGAAGTTCCCTGCAAAACTGTTTGGAAGTAAATGCTGTACTTAATAGTTTGTTGCTCTCATTTCCCTTAAAGTGCCTCAAATAGCGGTTTGAGTTTGTTTTATTTTTTAGTTATGAAGGCTAATTTTTTGTTGTTTAAGAAGGTATTGGGGTGCGGTGGTCTTTCTGGCAATTTAAAGACTTTTTTAGAAACAATTAAGGAAAGATGGGTAATTAAAATTCCATTATTATAACTTTTTTTTACCATTTACTAACTTAGATTCCAATGGAGATTTTAAAAAAATAGAAATTGAGTAAATATTTTCTGAATAATTCAAAGGTGAACAACCAAGGGTACAAATTTTGGAAATTTCGAAATTGAAGCATCTCTCTCTAATCTTCCCATAGAGTTGAAGGGTGATGTTTTTATGATTTTGCTAAATTGGGGAAATTCCTCCATGCCAGATTTGCTAATAGATGACTGCGCCTTAATAAAACGATCCAATGACTTAATTCCAATGCATCAATTTGTGTGTTTTTTCTAACTAAAAGCAATAACACCGATTCGCTCACCTGATGGTGTTTGTTAAAAACAACTGAAGGTCAGACATGATCAGTTAAATTGAATTAAAGTAATTAAAATAACACAATCACAACATATCAAAACTGTTTTTGCTAAATCTGTTTAATTCTTACAAATTTCTTGAATTACAACAATCAGGTAAAGACTTTAGATTTGGGACAGGCGTACAGTCCCCCCACCTCCTCTGTGATCTTACCGTAGAATTGTTTCACGTTTCATTCCGTACAAAAATGTAAAAATGCGAGTTTCGAAGAAGCGCTCAAACTTTTTGCCTGAGAAGCCTTTTGATTTCACAAAATTTTTCGATTATCGTTTTTTTATTAGCTAGAATAATTTTTTTTTGCCCTCAAAGTTAAAATCTGACAAACGCAATTTTCATCCCTCTTAAATTGATTGAGGTCGTTGAGCTTTTCTAAAAATTAAGAGTTTTCTTTATCATAGTCTTGATATGAAATTCTTGATGCAATTCCTAGATGCTTCGATGTAAGTTGATGTCAAAGTCTTGAATCAGGTCAAAATTTTTTGTTGTGAAATTTACTCATTGAAAATTTGAGACTTTAGTCGGAGAAACTAACCGACTGTTTTGCCATCTGATCCATCTTTTAGTTGTAGTCGTTTTTATAAAAAACCGCTAGAGTTGAAATTGGAATTAGTTCTAGGCGCTAAGCATAACGCCTCAAGATTCGATTAAAGGTTAAACTGAATAATTAATGGCAAAATTATGCTGAAAGCGACCAGAATTAACGGATATCAACTGCTTATGCTTTTCATAAAGAGAGAGGTATTAGAATATATTTGAGTGTTTGGGAAAAAGCAGGCGCAAAGGCAATGATTTATGTGATGGTGATTGAATAATTCCATACTTATGGACTAGAAACAGAAAAAAACTGAAAGGCAGAGCTCTAGATGGGAACATTTGTTTCTTTCTTTTTTTAGCTTCATTTAAATAGTCCTTTTTGCTACCTCAGGGATGCTAATAAGTAAATAAGACTACATGACTTTGAAACGGCAATTAATGCAGACGATATTAATTTCCTCACTGTATTATTATTTAAGCCGACATTTTAAATCACCGCAATAGAAATTACATAATTTTGCAGCAAAAGGTTTATCAAGAAAATTTTTTCGGAAAACGATGTTACCAAAAGCTTTGAAACGTACTGAAAAGTTAATTCAAAAGTGGAACAGTTTAAAAGCATTCAATTCAGTTCTATGTAAGACTTTCGATTAAATTAAAAATTCAAGTTATCAAGAATTGAAGTTTGTTGTTTTAAACAGTATCTGGGCTCAAATATTTTATTTGCCAAAATATTGTCAAGCCATAAGTGTGATGTTATCAAGTCATATGGGTTATTATTTTCTGTCAATAACAAAATCACTAAAACTAAGGTGTCTTGTCGAATTTTGAATCATCTGAATACAGAGTTTTTCTACGAAACAGAAGTTTCATAACGATTTCTTCATACTATTTGAAAGATTCCCGCAGTAGGTTAATAATAACTCATGAAACTAAAAAATGAAATAAATCCAAATCAATCATGAAGCTAAAATAATGTGCTGATTTTTTGGTGGCTAAACAAACAAAAAACCCATCATAAAACAACTCTAATCGAAGCAAAATGAAAAAACGAAAAATTTATAAATATGAAATGATTTGATAACTGCTAAAAACAATTTTCCTAATTTTCACATAAACCAATGTCTTCGAAAAGCATAAAAAGAGGCAAAAAAAAGGAATTATAATCGATTATTATCGATTACAATAGATTTTTTATGTGCTAATTATATAAATTAGAAATTTAATAAAAACAATCAATTATAAGTGTGCCAAAAATCGCTATGGTTTTTAATCAATTATAATTGATAAAACTGTGTTAATTATAATATGACTTCAAAAAGAGAGATTATAATTGATTATAATCTTTTATTTACAAAAAGTTAGCTCAAAAGTATGTTTTTATCAGATCTTATGGGTTTTTATTTTTCTGTCCATAACAAAATCACTTAAACTGAGAGGTCCTGTCACACTTTGGTTCTTCCGAACACAAGGTTTTACCACGAAACAAAAAGTCATGAAAATCCTTTATTTTAAGTTGAAAGGTTCACCAGGTAAGTGAAAAGTAACGCTTCGAAATAAATCGTGAAATTACGATAATTGGCTAATATTTTGTTGTTTGAACAAACTAAAAACGCGCATCATAAAACAACTCTAATCGAGAAGAAATGGAAAATTAAAATTTTTATGAGTATGAATTCATTTGAAACCCTTTTTTAAAACTCAATTAAATCAAAAAATTGATTTTTGACGCTTGAAACTGGATACGGTTAGTCACATCGACCGCATATTCCTGGGAAATTAAGCAAGGCAGAGGCCTTAAAGTTGTCATAAGCAATGCAAACTTTTCCGTTGTAACATACCAGATGTAAGTATAAATAAGAAAACGAAAATCTTTTTCATTTATTTAGTTTTGGAATCTTTTTAAGCTACTACATTTTGCTACAAAACTTTTTTGCTATCTGTAGACCAATGCGGCACCTTGTGTAATCTAACTTTTGCAGTGGCCACGTGGTAGTTGGATCAACCCCAGAGAGTGTAAGTTTTGCGGTTAACTCGACATTTATGTTTTTTTTTCGTTAAGATCGATCGTGGAAGCAACTGAACTGAACTGATCGATCGTGGAAGCAACTAAACTGAGAAATTCTACCTCTGGTTGTCTAAGCAATATGGTTTCGACAATACACACAGTGCAATTGACGCACGAACAAAATGAACTAAGAAAGCAAATTTTGCTAAAAGATAGATGAAACTTTTTGGAAAAGTTTAGCCGTGCCAAGTTTGCAAAAAGTTGTTTTGAAGGGGTAGACTAGCCTTTATATCATAACTAATTTTATTTGTATTCTTCTTGTGGACATATCCTCGCAAACATTATAAAAAGTTTTGAAGTTATGGGCTAAATTCAGTTTTTTGGGAAGCTGCTGAGCTTGACCTAATTTTTTTTTGCCGCCGAAAAATGACAGATAACCGAATTGAAAAAACTACTTAGTTCGGCGTCGAGAAACTTTCATACTGTTTTGACCACTACCTTTGTTATTGGTCTGCCTTGACTTTGTTATTGGTCTGTCTTTTAATTTTATTTAGTTTTACATTAATTCATACACTTTTTAGGGGAGTGCAGACGCTTTTTAGGTTCCAGGATCCCGTTGTTGAAATCTCATAATCCGATGACATGTAAGGTAATTGTATACTTTTAATGGAGCAATGAATTTTTTCTGTTTTTTAACTATTGTAATTTTAAACTATAAATTGTTTTCACTGAAATATATTTGAAATATAAACACGATTAAATTGATGTATATGAAGAGTTCAGAAAAACTATTTGCTTGACGCCTCTGATACTTTTACGTTCAGAAATATAGAGTAACTTGCAATAGAAGTTCATAATGGGTTCTCTTCACATAACTTTGTCGCCGCTATGTTCTCTTGTTTCGTGGTAGTGCCATAGGAGCTGATTGGTGATTGTAGCTGTTACTTCTGCTTGTCAACCCACTCTCGCTAAGCTCGCTATCCTCCCCCTCAGTGAAACTACCTCCTTCGTCATTGTACCCGTAGATCTGCAATCAAAACAATACAATTCGGATCTTTTTCCTCCAACCTCATTTTTTACTCCAGCGTTTTTCGAATTCTCCCCAACTTAAGCACAATGTACAAATCAAACTATGTGGTCAACAGGATCTTAATTGCGGTCTGAATCTATGTTTTGTGCACCCAGTTTTTGAAAAAAAAAATAGAAAAAAATTAGGATGAAGGGGATTAGATTTTTTAAACATCAATCTGTTGATTTAACTTTTACGCGAATTTACTACGCGGATACATATAAAAACTTACAAATGTGAAAGTTTTGTTTCTGAAAGACGCTCATTGATTGTGTTTTGTAAGTGTGTGAAATTTTGAGTCTGTATAATTTAATATACGCCTTAAAGCCAAGCCAACAGATGAATGCCTATATTTGACACTTCGAAACAGATTGCTCGTGTTAAGGCGGAACCCTGAATAATCTGACAGTCCTTTAAGGTCAACGGAGTAGTGTTCACATTAAGAAATGAATAAAATTTTCAAAAAAATTTTAAAAGTTTTTGGTGAGATTTGTTTTTTGAAAATCATGCCCAAAAAATACAAAATGATATATTTTGCATATAGTAAAGTATTAAACAAAAACGCCTCAACTCAATTTGGAACGATGTGTAGGACTGAATAAATTTGGTTTTTCGCATTGAAAGCACAAAATATATCGCGCCCCCATAACTTAACAAAAAAGTCACATTTGAAAAAATGAGCTCAGGGCAATAATATTATTTGGGTGTTATGCAACAATTTTGTCAAAAATGGCTGTTTAGAAAGTCAAAACTTTTCTGGAGTAACAAACACTTCGAGCATAAATATTTCGTCGCACTCGTCGAAATTTGCAACAATAACCCATCTAATAAATCAAAAAATTTATTTTCAAAATCGTTGTACATGGCTATATTGTAAACAATTTTTTGTTCCAATGATGGTTCGAAACTTAAATTTATTCAACAAATTGAATTTTTTGAACTTTAAGCTTGGAATCTGTGTATGTTTGGTTTAGAATTTGTATACGTGGCTACTGGAAAACGTCAGAAAAAGTATCAGTTCTGTATCAGTTTTGAAAACAAGTTTTCAGAATCAGTTTTTTTCCGATTTCCGTAACGAAAGAAATGGAAAATTTGTGCTCGGCGTGGGTTTTTTTCTTCTGACAAATTTCGACTTCTTAATTGGCCATTTTTGAAGGAATTTTTTTAATATCAAAAGGTTTTGTTGTCCTGAGTTTAGATTTGGAAAAATATTTCAGCTGTGGTCGTTTTTTTTTAAAGTTATGGGGGTTTAAAAATCGCCATTTTGATCAATTTGGGAAAGTAAATGCGCAATATATCTTGCGCTATTAACGCGTAAGCAGAGAATTAATCCGTCTTAGAAATCGTTCCAAATTGGTTGAGCGAAGCTTACTTGACATAATTGATTTGTTACTAGGAGCGAATTTTGTCAATTTGAATTTTATATTGCGTGTGGAATTTTTTTAAAAAAATCGTTTTTGTTTACATTTATTTTTTTCTTGTAATGACTGATCCATAGACCTTAAAAGACAGTCGGAACATTCAGGGCGTCGCCCTGATACGAGCAGTCTTGTTTAAAAATTGTATAAATTGAATGATTTTTACATACTTAAATACGCTGTTCCGCGACATAGATATTAGCGACAATCCACGAGGATCGGTTTTTATCAGTGATAGAGTCAACTGGGATATTGAATCTAAACAAACCTTAAAATTATATTGGCTATGTCATGTATCAAACAAAATGATAAAAATCAGTCCTCATTCAGTTTCTAGCGTTTTGCTTAAGTTAATGAATTGATCTAAGAACTTTTCTAAGTTTTCAATATTATTTAGCAAAAATTAGTTGCCATATTAAAAGAAGGTTATGAAAAGGATCGTATTAATCATCGACCAATTAGTTTTCGATGTACACTAAGAAATTATGGGAATTGTTTATCAGCAAAGGTTTTCTTTTGTTTAAAATATACATTCTTCAGTTAATGAGCTATCTGCGTTCAAAAAAAATTCCCATGATCTGGCGACTAACAAGAACCACAAAAATTCAATTTCCTAAAAAAACTATTAAAATTTGAACTTTTTTCGTGACAAGAATGAAATTTTAACGTTTGAAATTGAGTTGTCTCAAGTTCTGTTTTCATCATCTGATTTTTTGCTGGGGCAATATAATAATAGTCATAAAACGAATATTGCCATTTCTACGATTCGCAGAGGATCTATGAAAAGCTATCCAGCCTGTCTAAACAGCCCGTTTGTCTTTTTTCTTCCATTCTAGACTGAGACTGAGTTTTTGTATTAAGTTTTTTTTGCGACTCATGGTCGTTTTTTTTTGCAACTTAAGACTTAAACTTTCACGCGCCACCACTATTGCAGCCGAAAATGGTCAGGCTCTGGTAGAATTGAAGCTAGAAGTTAACGAGAACTCGTCCTCACACAGTATCCTTCCATGGTACGGGATCGATTAAACGATTTGACTACCACGAAATGAGCGCCTTACCACTATGCTCAAAACTTTTTTAGTTTGAAACTAAAGTTATAGGAGATTATCTCCCGGGTTAATCTTGCCACAATAATTATCCGAGGTTCAGCGTTATCCCATTATAGTGTAATTTTCAATTTTCACTCTTAAGCGAATTAATAGAAAATTAGGGGTATAATGTAAATTGTCAAATTTAATTTTACGGGTTCAATCAGCGCGTGATTTTTTTTATTGTTGCAATTTGAAAAGAGCAAAAAATAGCGCTAATATGAGAGATGATTCCGAAAAATAAACCCTGACTCAGATGTGGTTCTGCGCCGTATTCAGAACTGGGATTTTAGCTCTGATTCATCGATGTTTCAATCCAGATCATGGGTAACCTGACGCTGATCAGAGCTGAATAAGCTATGGTAAACACTGGTTTTTCATGTAAGTAACGATGACTAAGACAAAGAGCTCAACCCGAGCTGAATTGTTTCTAAAAAATTGGAAGTTTCCATTGAAAAATCCTTCTACATTACTTGCCAGAGACAAAACTCTGCCAGCCAGAACTACTTTGGAACAGTTTGGCTAAATATTTTCCCTTTCACGCGAAGGAATAGAATGGAGAAAAAAAGTTTACCTCGTTTTCTGCCGCCTCGTTTAGAGTGAGTTTTCTGTTTTTGATTAGATTGATGAACCACAACTTCAGGTAATGTTTGAACGCCGAGGAGAATACACAGAACAGCAGGAAGTTCAGAATGCCGGCGAACAGAGAAACTGAAACCCAGGCAAACATACCAAATTATGCGAACATAACCAAACACAGCCAAAAGTGGTTGTCTCGAAATAGTACAAATGTGGGTCTGCATTAATAATGGTCGAATCCCTGAGGGAGGGAGGGGCCTCCGATTCATATAAGATTCCGATTTGTAAATTTTTATAAATAACTCTGTTACTAGATTTGGTTTGGAAACATGTATTATTATTATGATTATGATTTTTACGATTATTATGATTATTTTGTATTATTATTATTATTATGATTATTATTATTATTATTATTATGATTATTATTATGATTATTACTATGCCATTTTCAACTGATATTTTCCAGTACCGCAAAATAGGTGGTTTAGTGTGACATAACAGAGGTTTTTCAACAAAGTATTGAACAGCAGGGGCGAATTTAAGGGGGGAGGGTGACACCCTAACTTCCTCAAGGATTTGACCCCCTCAATACTCAAAGAGTCCCCTTTGGTATTACTTTACGACATCACTTCTCGGTTTTCGGCCGACCAACCCTACTAATTCTAAATGGGTGCGCGCGCCAAAAAAACGCAATGTTTTGGTCAAACATTTTCCAAAAAGTGCTTAAAAACAACTTTTTTAGCCTGTTTTTTCAAGAAGTTGCAGGCGTCCCAGAAATTTTTGTCAAAATAGGATCTTAATACTGATATGGGAGTGCTCGGAATATCAATTTGGTCGACCTAAAACAGTCCGACAAAACTTTCAATTTTCTTGAAAATCGCCCCCCTCGGGAAAATTCTAGATCCGCCCCTGCTGAACAGCTCGCGTTTGTTGTTCCATTAAACTTGTAGATAAATGTTCTTAATATTAATATTAATTGCAGTTTTTCTCATTCAAATGGAGATATCAGTTGGACTCACCCCGAGTAAAGATACCGATTTTATGAGTGGTAATCTGAGTTAGGACCGAAGTGTAACTCATAGAGTAATTTCGGATAGGGTACACCGTCTGCTCGTCACGCTATCTTATTTTCGGCCGGATAGATTCGTGCAACTTCTTAGTCTAATACCGATCCTAATCTTACTCTTATACTACCTAGTCTCAGGTTGTTTAACTAGTCTCTGCTAGGCTCAATAGATCTAGGGTATACTGGTTTATTGCGGCTGCTGAAGTGCTCGGGAGAGTCCAACTAATTTCTAAGTTAAATTCAAATCTCTCTGGTGCTGAAATTACAAGTAACTTCAGCACTTACAAATAAGTGGGTTGTTAGTTAGATGGATCATGATTGGTTAATATTAAATACTTTACATTGGTAAAACATTTAATTTATCCAATCATAAAATATAGTTTAGATCAGGTTCCACCCATCCGGGTTTTACAGAGTTTTTTAGAACAGTTCTTCTGTAATTCAAGGGTGGATGATGGACGTTGGTATTTGGCGAACATCATAATTTTCTTCCGCTTCTTCTTGTGACAACGACTGAGTCTCTGCAACAAAATCAATTCTGATTTCAGAATGGTTGGCTATGTCAGGTTTTTCTGTTCTTCGGGGAGAACTTCTTTTGTGTCTGATCTAGCTTAGGAATGGCGTGGAGATTGTGCGTGGAGGGGATGCCTGGTTACTCGGATCTGTACGTATACTTGAACATCGAGGTGGTCATTGGTCTAGTTCAATGAAGTCCTTTTCTGCGAAGTCAAGTCGTACTCTAAATCCTTTGAGTTGTGATTGTGAGCGGCATATCGATTGTAGTTGGTCATTCTCTCTCGAGTGTAGTGAGGTCGTCTTGTCTTTTGATGTTCGTCCTTGGTGTTGTATTCTGATCTATATATTGCATCATGTGATTTTACATTTTATAAAACTTTTATTAGTTTAATATTTTTTAATAATGATTTTAGTTAGTTGTTTTCACAAAAGCTTTTTGTTTTAGTTCGGTTATTTTGAAGAGTTACTCACCCTTGAGTAGCTCTTATTAAAAATAAAGGTGTGGTCACAAAGCGTGGATGTAGCGCGGTGGGTTAGGCCGGCTATAGAGCATGCTCAGGACGTCCTTCCTGGTGGGTTAGGCCAGGTGTGGGAGTATGATTTCATGCGGTTTTTGTGAGGGGTCCTGTTATGTGACAACGTTTTATGTTGGGTTTGTTGTGGTTTTACTTATGTCTTGTTGGTTATGTACTTTTTCCAAAAAGCAAATTGTTTGTGGTATGGGTTTGTCTTTCGACTTTTTTGTGTTTTATTATTTCTTTCTAAGACTTTGTAATAGTCTTCAAAAGAATAAATTATCCAGTTTTAAACTGGGTTAATCCGGTTTGGGTACCGTTGGTTTCTTTTTCTAAGTCATGCTGTTATTCTATGATTTGTGGTATTTAGTAAGCTGCGTTGGTTAGTTTTGTTTAGTATATGATTCCTTTCCAACCGGGTTAAAGGAAAGTTTGAAACATGTTATTATATGTTAGAGTTGTTGAGTGTGAAAACTTGAAACTGAAATTCATTATTTTAAACAATTCTTCGTGGGCGAGCTGTGCGAGTGTGGATAGAATTTCTGTGCGAATGAATGAAAATATTAAAAGGTTAGTACTGCAATTGCATTTTATTAATTTACTGCATAGAATTTGGAAATTTACTGCTAGTTATGGGGGAATTTTAAGATACAAATTTTCATCATAATTAGATTTACTGCTGTGGGGGAAAATTTTATAAATTAATTTACTGCATTGGTATTATATTTATTTAATTGTTGGTGCAAAAGTTTAATAGTGTCTTAAACAGTTTTGAAGAAGTTTGCTATTTTTTGATTTTTCTTTTGTGAATTTTTCAGATGATCTAGGATGAAGGCTAAAAATCTAAAGAAAACATGAATAAAGAATGGTGAGTTTTTAATATTTTAATTAGTTAGTAATATCATTTAATTCATACTTACCTGTTAGTCGTCGGGGAAAAAACCGTGGGGGAAGATGTCGTGAATTAGTTCTGAAGTTGTTAGTAGTTTAGCTAAGATGCGGATGATATTTTTAGTTTGAAGCAGTGGCCAAAGCAATTGAAGTGCCTTAATAGTGGTTAGTTCTTCAGTGCCTACTGCAAACTCATAAGGTGTGTTTTGGATTAAGTTATATAATTTTTGGTTAAATTTAGTGTTGTGGATGAATTCTAAAATTGGGATTTCTATAGGTTGTAGGAACTCGTGCGGGATAAGGAAGGGTCGGGATTCTTCGGCGTTGAAGGTCTTGGTGATGGGGCAGAAAATGTACATTTGGGTTATGGGGTCATAATTACGAAGAATACCATGGAGGTTAGTGTCTTTAATACAATATGTGAAATTTAGGAAATACGGTGAAGTGTATTTTGAATTGATGAATTGAAAACGATGGTGTGGTTGTCTAGAGGGTGTGTGGAGGTCAAAGTGATTTTGGATGAAACGATAGTAACTGTATGTATGTGTTTGTTTAGTGCGCAACATAATATCGTGTGAGCAGTGTAAATCTCTTTCGTGTGGTGCAAGGAAATGAAAGGTTAGTGAAAAGATTTGGAAGCGTTCTTTAAAACTTTCGTATGCTTGTGTGTTTGTTAGTGCTTCTGAAATAATGTGATCAAACTTTCGGTCGAAGATGTTTAGTGTAAATACATATGGTGTCTTGATGAAAAATTTCTCGGTGATTTGTGGATTAGCGAAGCGATCGTCGTCTAAGAATTGATCTTGGTTAGCTCTGATGATGTTGTGATCGTAGTATTCTAGTGTATATTCATTAGCTCTAGGTGCAGTGTGTATTTTTAGTGATTTTTTATATCCAACGTAAGTAAATTGTCTAGCGGTTAGTGGTGTAGTGAGTTGATATAGCATGTCCTTATTTCGTTCTATATCGATGGAAGTGCTGGATAAAGGTAAGCAAAGAGGGTTAGTGAAATGATAGTATGAGGTCCAAGAGAGAGTGGGCATTAAAACGTATTCATCTACAAAGTTGCGTGTTTCGTTAGCGTCGTGAGGGGTGTTTAAGGTGTATTGTGGAAACGAGGGTAAAGTGATAGCTAAAAATTCTTTAGTGTTAGTATGCTGGGGGTGGTTGATGTATTCACGGGCTGTTCCTGGTTTTGCTGGGAAAGGATGGTTGGGGAATTTTCTTTTAAAAGTGCGGTAAGCTCTATTAGTGTTTAGTGAAGATATAGTGGATGTGGATGATGGTGTTAATGATTCAGTATAATTTGAAGAGGGTGTAGGGGTAGGGGGGTTGGATGAATTTATTGTGGAGGAGATTTGGTTTATGGTCGGGGTGTTAAGGTGGTAGGGTTGTTGTTGGAGGGTAATAAAATTATCTAGTTCTGGGGAGATTCGGGGGGTGTCTGGAGAATGAGATGATTGGTCAGAATGGTATGAGGAGTAGGTTGGGGTAACTTGGGAAGCATAAGAGGGTGTGGGAGTGATTGGGTCAGGGTTATTGGATAATATGGGTTGAAAAGGGGATTGAGAAAAATTAGAAGAGTTATGAAAATTATTGGATGGGGATGGTTCTGAGTCGGCGAATTCATCGGGGGTTTCAATATTCGGGTTATTTAGCTGTGAGATGGAGTATAAAACTGAAATATGTGAGTTAGTGTCGGAATTCATGCCTGATGTTACATTGCTAGATGGAAAATCGGGTGGCGGAAAAGCAAAAAGTGGTATGATTGGGATTGGAGAGGTAAGATTGGTTGGATGGGAATTTGATCGGTGTAGTGATCCAAGTTGGCGGCTCATCGTGGGCTAAAAAAATTATTATTTTGAGATTGAAAAGCGGTGGTATGGGGCTGTTCAATAATTTGTTCATAAGTATTATCATCTTGTGATTGATGTGTTATTATATGTTGGATGGGACTTTGTGATGTGGTGAGTCGAAAATTTGGATTATGTGTGATTGCTAAATTTCGAAAATTTCGTGGGACTAGGGATAGTGGATGGTTATTTGGTAGGGGTGGTAATCGTGGTGCCGTTGGCTGTGTGTCGACATTGTTATGTTCTTCGTCGTATGTATTTTGTCGTGTTGTTATTTTTGTGTTATAT